TTTAAAAATATTATAAATATATATAAATATTATTTTCAAACTTTTAATTTGAGAAAAAAATAAAAAATAGTAGTTATTTTAAAAACTGAGACTAATAATAAAGCCGATTAAGTTGTTTTAATATATAAAAGGCCAAATTCACCCTTACTAACTAAACTCCAATAGTTAGCCTTTAGCTAAATTACCAATTTGGCCTTACTTCGTTATCTAATTTTCAAAACTTATTCCTAAAATCCTTCGCACCAGTTCTTCTAGATTCAGATAGAGATGCAGAGCCTCATTTACCAGTCTAAAATTTCCCATTTCTCAAGTTCCAGATCTTATAACACCTAAAATCTAAAAACCAGATTTAAAGAAATTTCCCTGGTTGCATGCTTAGGCTTCCTAAAATCCAAATCTGCACTTCAATTATCCCTCTTTTCTTCAACTTTCTGGGGAACCAAACAAACAATGAAAACATCAAAGTTACAAGAACATGTGCGATTAAAAGGTGAACGGGAACAATCTAAGTTTGAAAACCCATTGATATGGATTCATTAAGAGATCTGGGTTTCGAAACCAGCAACCCGGGTTTGAACCAACGGATCTAGGTTCGAATCCAGATCCTGGGTTCAGACGAACCCAATTGCTGGGTTCGAACGAATCCACTCCTCCGGATTTCTGCTTTTGTCGCTCGCCAAACATAGCGATCTGTACGAAAAGCTGACCATCGAGGAAGGAGGGATTGGCCGCTATAATGAACCCAATTTCTCGGTTCACATAAACCCAGATCTGGGTAAACCCAAAGGGGGGAAGATGAGTGGGAAAGGAGATTTTCTGAACACAGATCTCGGTGAAGCAGAAGGGGGGAAGATGAGTGGGGAAAGATGAGTGAAGGAAGAAGAGAGCGTGACAATGGCTTGAAGGGGAGAAAAGAGAGAGAGAGAGAGAGAGGGGAGAAGAGAATGAGAGGCGAAGAAGAGTATAAGGGCAATTTTGTAATTTAATTTTAAAAAATTAATAAATCTGACTTCATTAAGAATTATACTAACTGAATGGGTGAATGTTTCACTTAATGCTCTTTTTGTACCTTAAATCTTTTATTTTTTATATTCCCTTAATTTCATTTAAAATTTCATTTAACTGCATTTATAAAACTAATATATTTATAGAATTATTACATTTATAGAATTATTATATTTATAAAATCATTACATTTATAAAATTAGTAAATGAGTAAGTGACAATTCATTTCTATAAAAAATTCTTTCCCCTTTGGGCCACAAAATTCTTACCTTGAGTTTTTTGTAATAATTTACTTCACTGTAATTGAGTAAGT